TACCGCCATGATATAGGTGCTATAATTCCTCGGACGAGGAAACTGAGGTTCAGAGAGGCCAAGGCCACCCAAATAGAGACCTTCTATGTGGACCGCTAACGGCAGGAGGCAGGTTCTTTCTGAAGAACCGAATGCATTGCCAGGAGGTGATAAATGTAGCACCTTCACCTTTTATACCCTCCTCTTCTCCTTTTGCACCTGATACACCTTCTCAGTGCCCAGCAGGCACGATGAAGGTAAGATGTGAGACAGAAACAAAAGAGACATTTCCGGAACCCTCACTATGTGCCAAGTCCTGCCGGGGGGCTTTATAGCTAAGCGCTTGCTGAATCCTCCCAACAACGCTGTAAGCGGATGATCTTTTTCTCCCCAGCTTGGAGATGAAGGCAGTGAGGTTCAGAAAGTGCCCTGAGCACTTGCCACAAGTGCCAGGAGCCCCTCGGCGTCCTCCTCCTCACGGAGTCCTCATCCCGGCACTCCGACCAGACCCCCTCCTTGTTCCCACCGCCCTGGAGAGGAGACCAAGGCTGCAGCTGCCCTGAAGCCGGCGCAGCCCTGCCAAACCTGCCACGGAGCCAGAGATGCCCACCACGGGAAGGGACCTGTCCCCCACCTGACCCTTGTCCTCAAGGCTGGAGCAAGCGTCTCCCATCACACACAGGGGTCTGTGCACGGGGCAATGCAACAGGACCACTCCTGCCTGACCCTACGGATGACAGCATCCCCCGTCCCAGAGCAACCAGGCGCACACTTGCCCTCCGCCGTCTCGGCCACTCCTGGGGCTCCGAGGAGCCGGCCAGAGGCGACAGAACAGGGCGCAGATTTTAGTCGCGCCCGGAGCCCGCGCAGGGTCCGGGGTTGGGAGGCGACAGGCTAGCCCCAGGAGACTTCGGCACCTACCCTGCTCGTTTTTGGCACAAGCCAACTTCCTGCACTTGGGGGAAAAGACATCTTTTTAAAGAGAAGGAAAGGGCGAGAGAGGGAGAGATGGAAAAAAAGAGAGAGTCCAGGAACAGATAAAAATAAAGTGTTCAGAGGGATTCCGGCCACTGAGAGGTTCTTTTACAGAACAGCATTTTGATGAATTACACACAAATGAGGCAACAACGCATGGATTAAGTTTCCCTTAAAATTCTTACAGTTTTGGAAATAAGTGAGGAGGGAGCACCAGCGGCCACGTGGCTTCTAGCTCCCTTCTGCACACTTTGCTGCATTCCCTTTTGTTTGGGCCTATGTCATGCTTGCAATCCTTCGGGGAGAAAACAGTTTGAGCTGCAAGACATACATGCTGACACTATCTGTGTGACCCTGGGCAAGGCAAGCCACTTACCCTCTCCAAGCCGGTTCCCTCATCTGTAAAATGAGGACCCCATGAGCCTTCTGGGTGAACTTTCCTGCCCGAATCCCAGATCTGAGACTCCCTGTGCCCTCTTGCTATAGTATTCATTCAATAGCCAACAACAGCTCCCAGGCCCCAGAGAGGCCCTCAGGCTGGCAGGTGCGTTAGTGTATTTTTCTCATTAAATCTCATGACAAGTCTGGGAGGTATACATATGCTCCCCATGCCAGGAGAAGCTAAGACTTGGAGAGAGCAAGTTCATTTAGTCATTCAACAAACATGAGCACTTACTTTTACTGGCACTGTGCTAAAGCCAATACTCTATGTCAGGGTTTCTATGGACACTGCTGACATTCAGAGTGGACCATTCTTTGTCGTGGGGATTGTCCTGTGCATTTTAGGATATTTAGCAGCATCTCTGGCCTCCACCCACCAGATGCCTGCAGCACACCTCCGCTCCAGTTGTGGCAACCAAGAATGTCTGCAGATGCTGTCAAATGTCCCCCCAGGGGGCAAAGTCCTGGTTGAGAGCCACTGTTCTACCTGGATTAACTCAGGGGTTCCTCCTTCTGAGGTGGGTCTGTGGGTGTCCTCATTTAACAGAGCAAGGAACCTGGCTTGGAGAGGGTAAGCAGCTTGCCTTGCCCAAGGCCACAGCTAGTGTCAGAGAGTGGACACAAACCCAGGGGGCCCTGCTCCATGTCTGGGCCTGTGATTCCAGCTTGGCTGCTCGGCAAGTAATGTCTGCACAGCTGGCTGTCGGGGACCCTTAACATGGTCCCTTTTGGGGCTGGGTTCACCCACTACAGGGCTACATAAAAAATGTCCTTAAATGTCAGGGGACACCTTACCCCATCTCTCATCTTTTCCCTAAGATGGTCTTTCTGCTATAAAATGGTACTGTTCCTTTTATTGTCCGCTACTCACCCCTTGGAGAGGCACATTAGTAATGGAAAAAACGTTACTAATGAGGACTAGTAACAATCACTTTATGATCGAGGAGCACTTTTGTAACATTAAGAACCATTGTCTGTCATGTACTCACCACCTGCTAAGCTCCAAGGGCTGTTAGAGTATTTCACCTAATCCTTAGGACAAGCCTTTGAAGCAGGGGCTATGTATATTTCCATGATACAAATGAGGAAACTGAGGCACAGAGAGGGGAAGTAACCTGCCCAGGGGCTATGAATATTTCCATGATACAAATGAGGAAACTGAGGCACAGAGAGGGGAAGTAACCTGCCCAACGTCACACAGCTGGTAGTGGCAGAGCCTGTATTCTCAACCACTGTGATCACCTGCCCCTCTTAGCAGTGTTACACAGACTAATGCATTGAATTTCTCACCACAGCCTTGTCGGACAGATCTTCTAACCCCTATTTTACAGATTTAGAAACTGAGCCCCGGCAAGATGAAGAAGGCTGCTCCCAGCCACACGGCCATGGCGAGGCAGAGCCAGGACTTGACTTAGCAGTTTGGTTCTATCTTTGGCAGCTTCACCCTCTGCTGGGCCTTGGGGGTAACCTAAGCCATCTCATTGAATCCTTCCAGCTCCTGTGGGGAGCGGGCTGTGCCCATTTTACAGAGGAGATACGAGACGGGGTGGGTGACTTGCCTGAGGTCAGGCTGCTCTTAGGGGCAGAGCCAGGATTTGAACCCGGGTCTGTGGGATTTCAAGACACAGCCCTTCCCACGGCACCCCAGCACGTGGAGCTCCTTGCTTGCACCCCCGGAACGGCCTTCTCGGTCAATGCACCCTCCCCCTCTGCCGGCTCGGGCTTCGGAAAGGGGGGTGTCTTGCACGTCTCCCACTGTTTATTCTGTAGTTGTTTCCCCATTTATGCCAAAGGGAACAACCCGAAATGGCACCTCCAGGTGGTAAGACAGATGGCAGTCACGAGGCTGAGGGGCTGGTGGGCAAACCTTTCACCCCGGGGTCAAGGCTTTGCCCCGCAGGTCACCCGCATAGGGCAGGCCCTGTCCCCTCTGACAGCTGTTGGGGTCTTGCCCGGGAGAAGCCTAGGGGTGCTCAGGCCTGGTCAGCGGGAGACAGCTGGCCACAGCCCCAAGGCCACCAGCTGCCTGGCGTGCTCGCCACCCCTCCCCCAGCTGGCCCACCGCCTGCCCCTCCCGGGGTCCTGTGTCTGGTGCTGGCCACCCTCAGAGAACAAAGCATTCAATCCCACAGGGCCGGACACCAGCAGACCTGGGCCCGAGTCCTGGCTGGACGGGTGATCTTTGTGCCTTTTCTTTTAAATCCTTATCATTTGAGTTTTGTGTCTGCCCATAGCCATGGGGCCTCAGTAATTGCTGTTGTGTTATCACCTATTTTTTATTGGAAATAGCAGCACTAGCAGGGCGGTTAAGAATGTTTGCTCTGGATCCAGACACCTGGGCTCGGAGTCCTGGCTCCCCAACTTAGGATCAAAGCGACCTTGAGCAAATGGTTTGACCTTTCTGTGCTTCTGTGTCCTTATCTGCGAAACTGCCCATCGTGACACACAAGTTGACATGTGACCACACCTGGCACACAGTAAGTGCTCAATAAATGCTGACTATTACTATTATTGATCTGTGTTTCTGCCCATTTTGTGTAGGAAGCCCTCTTCTATTTGTTTACTTACATTTTTTAAAATTTTGGTCCTTAAAGGCCTGATCAAGCCTTTCCTCCCCCGAGGATGTCTGAGCTACCCAGGTGGGCCTGCTTGATACTACTTCCTGTGGATCTCTGCAAGATCCTTGTACAATATTGCGCACGGAGTAGGCCCTTCATCTAATAACAGTTATGAATGGCTATTTTTATTTTATTTTTTAGAGACAGGGTCTTGCTCTGTCGCCCAGGCTGGAGTGCAGTGGCATCATCATAGCTCACTGCAGCTTTGAACTCCTGGGCTCAAGCAATCCTCCCGCCTCCGCCTTGTGAGTATGTGGGGCTACAGGCATGCGTCACCATGCCCGGCTAATTTCTTTTTATTTTTTGTAGAGATGGGGTCTTGCTATGATGCCCAGGATGGTCTTGAACTCCTGGCTTCAAGTAATCCTTCTGCCTTGGCTTCCCAAAGCGCTGGGATTATAGGCATAAGCCACCACACCTGGCCAAATGGCTGTACTTCCTTGAGCTCTTACTGTATACCCAGTACTTTCCCTGTGCTTAACATACATTATCTTATTTTACTCTCCTCTTAACTTGATGTCTTAATAATATATCCATCTTATAAATGAGGAAACGGATGCTTAGAGAGGTTAAATGACTTACCCATTGTAGCAATAGTAAGTGTCACAATTGAAACCTGATGAAACTCCAGGGGATGAGCCGACCCGTTATGGAAGGTAAGAGGGCGAGAGTTTTTGCTCCATCATCTCTCAGACTCTTACAAACAGAGGGCCAAAACCAACTCTGATTTCTAAGAATATCAGTCCTGCTTTCTCGTAGCAAGCAAACAAATGAGTGTCCGTGGCAAGGATTTACAGTAAGTCATTCTCTCTCCCTGGAAGATGCCTGTATGAGTCAGGGCCCTTTCTGTTGCAAATAACAGGAAATTTAGCTCAACTTGGCTTAAATTAAAAAGGGAACATATTGACTCACATGACTGGAAACCTGAGGGGTAGTTAACTTCAGACATAGATTGATCAAGGGATTTAAAAATAATAAAGTTATTACCTCTCTCTGTCCTCTTTCTCTCTCTCTCAGTTTCGCTTTCCCTGATGTTGACTTCATGTTCAGGCAGCCTCTCCCGCAAGCTGTTGGCAAAGATGGCTCCCAGAGCCTTCGATCCGACCGCACCTGCTCCTCCACCTCGCGGTGAGAGGGTACCTGTTTCCTAATAGCACCTGCTAAAGCTATTACTCTGATTGGCCCAGCTTGGGTCATGTGCCCATCCCTGAACCAATCACTGCCACCAGGGCGGCGCTGTGCACGCCCTGCCCGGGGGCTTGGGCTGAGCTCCCCCTGGGCCAGGTGCACCGAGTGGGGAAGGAGTTTCCCGAAAGGACAATCAGGTGTTTCTGTGTCAAGAAGGTGGAATGCATCTAGACTGATTTAAAAAGACATTATTGAGACACTGGGAAAATTCAGATATGGAGTGAATGTGGGGTAGTAGTATCGTATTAATAATAAATGTCCCGAGTGTGATAACGGTTTTGTAGAAGGTCCTCATTATTAGGAGAACACACTTTGGTAACCGGCATCCAAAACGCCCCATGGTCTCTGCCTGCCGGTCTTCACACCTCTGTGTGGTCCCCTCCCCTCCCACGCTGTGCCAGGGCTGGGCTGTGTGACAAATAGAGTCAACAGAATATGGTGGAGGGATGGTCTGTCATTCTAAGATTGAGTTATGAAAGATTGTGGCAGCCACCTAAGTTTCCTGCTCTCTCTCTCTCGTCACTTGCTTTGGGGGAAGCTAGCCAAGGTGCCACTGGCAGCCCTGTGAAGAGGGTTTTGTGGACAGGGAGGCCTGGATGGAGAGGAACTGAGGCCTCCAGCCAACAGCCACACAAGTGAGCTCCGTCACACCTGACGTGACTGCAGCCCCGGCTCACACTTGGACTGTAGCCGTGTGAGACCCTGAACAGAGGGCCCAGCTCAGCTGTTCCCAGATTCCTGACCTATAGCAACCATGATATAACAGATATTTGTTTTTTAAAGCTATTAAATGTTGGGGTCATTTGTTACAATAAATAGATAACTACTGCATATGCTGAGGTCTGCAAATAACTCACAAATGGTTTCGCAAAAATTTACCGAGAAAGACAGTGACAAAGGAAATGTGGCAAACTTTTAACAACTAGTGAGTCCTTGTGATGGGTATACGATGTTCACTGTGCTATTTTCTGTAGGTTTGATATTTTCCAAAGCAAAAAGCTGGGAAGAAAAAGGGAAGAGTATAGACTTTGGAGTCAGGCTGCCTGGGTTTGAATCTGGCTGGACTTTATTTACCTGCTGTGCACCCTTGGGGTTACTTAACCTCTCTGTGCGTCAGTTTCTGCATCTGTATAACAGCATGAAAACAGCATCTCTCTCATGTGGTGAGGATGAAATGGATTAATGTATGTACAGCTCTTAAAACAGCCTGGTTCCCCATAAGAGTCACTTTCAAAGTTACGCCATGCTCACTTTGAACCCTGTGAGCCCAGCACGGAGACTTGGCAAATAGTACGCCCACAAGAAATATTTGCAGAATCAATGAATGAATGAGTTGATTTTCTAACCTGTGGTTTGCAGGCTTCTCTTGGTTTTGAAAAGTTCCTCTGTTAGCTAATGTGGCCAGAAAAAATCTCTCTGGAATTCAAGAATTCCACATTGCCTTGTTGGAAGCATGGCCTGAAAGGTTGGATTAAAAAGAGGTGGGGGTGGCAGATCAAGGCATGATGAAACGTGTGCATTGGAATACCAAGCCAGAAAACTAAGGAAAAACAATTATATGTTTCTGTTGCAAAAACAGGGCTGCTCTCTAGACTGGCTTTCCTGTGTGCCAGGCAGAAAATCACCACCAATCCCCAAACAAAAGTCTGTACCATTGGGTAATAGTAGCTCACCCTTACCAAGTGGGTCCACTGTCCCAGGCACTGTTCTATCTGCATTACCTCTAGTAGTCCATATAATCCTTACAACAACCCCAGAAACCAGTCCTATTATTCTTTCCATTGTACAGATGAGGCACAGAGAAGTGAAGTAACTTGCCCAAAGTCACACAGCTTAGGAACTTGTGATCTTAGGCAGTCTCAGATCAGATCTTTGTAAATTATAAATGTCTGATGGCTAGACACTCCTTATTCTCCATGAAGTTCCTCCCATAGATTCATGTACATGAGTTCAGTCTCAGTGCCCCAACTAGCAGAGATTTTTTTTTTTCCTTTTTGAAACATGAGCTAGATATGTCTGTATTTTAACATACTCAAAAGGATTTATTTCTTTGCAATCAAACTGCTCCAGAGCAGTGTTGTCTTTTTCTTCACAATGGGAGACTGTCATAAATTAAAAGGGTTCCCCATTCCGGCAGGCACTTAGCTGGGCCACTTAAAATCGCTTTGGACCTTGCCCTGAACTGACCTTTCTAAACTGCTTTCCAGGCATCACTCCCGCCGGGACCTGAGCAGGGCTGATCACAAGAGCTTTGCTTCTCTTGCAAACGGAGCCACTGATTATTCCAGGCACGAGAGAGAAAAGAAGTCCTTGAGTCACAAAACAGGAATGCCACCTGCAGTCACATTCTGGGAGCTCTAGAACTGTCCGGGGAAGTGGGGGATGCCCCTCTGGCCACCCCGGGAGAAGTCTGGGGAGAGGAAGGAGCCTCCTTCTCCTGTCCTGCTAGGAGACAGGCTTGGGCGCCTTTCCTCCACTGATGTCATTTCACCCCACCCAAGGGGCAATATTTAATATCCGTGTGTTTTGAGAGAAAGACACCTGCCTTTATGGGAGGAAATAGTGGCCCTTCTGTCCCCAAAACCAAATGCCATCGTCTTCCCCACAGTGTGTGACGGGGTAATGACGATGACCCTGAGAACAGCCACCATGTAATAAGGCCGCACGATGTCATGATCTCAACCACCACCGTCACCCCTACTCCTTAATAATGTACTGTGGGTTGAGCAGCCCTTATCCGAAATGCTTACGACCAGAAGCATTTGAGATTTCAGATTTATTTTAGGATTTTGAAATATTTGCCTTATATCTATACGTATTGACTATGCATCCTTAATCTGAAAATCCAAAATCCGAAGTATCCTATTGAGCGCTTCCTTTGGGCATCACGTCGGTGCTCAAAAACTTTTGGAATATTTCAGAGTTTAGATTTTTGGATTTGGGATGCTCAACCTGTACTATTATTACTAAATAATAATAATTATTATTATTTTGCAATATAATATCTACATTATACTATATTAAATTAATATAACAATATATTCAACATAGTATATTATAAATAAATAATATTTATTTGGCATTTATTGAGATCTTACTATGTGCCAGGAACTCTTCTAAGTCCTTAACGTGATTTGTTCAATTCATATAGCGGCCTTTTGTGCAGGGACTAATACTAGCCCCATTTTTTCCGATGAGGAATCCAAGGCACAGAGAGGTGACGTCATGTGCCCAAGGTCACATGGCCACTGAGTGGTGTACAGTTCCATTAAGGCACATGCCATCATTGTCCCCATTTTCCAAGAGAGGAAGATGAGCATCAGGAGGTGACGTGCCTTGAAGGCAGTCATGGCAATAATATTATAGCAATTGGTAACATCATCATTTATCGAGCATTTCTTAGGTGCCAGGCACTGTGCCAAACACTCTGAGAACACTGTCCTATTTAATCCTCACGACAACCTCACAAGGTAGGTGCTGTCACCGTGCCACTTAACAGAGGAGACGGAAGCCCGGAAAGGTGAGGCGGGTCACACAGCCAGCACGTGGACGGGCAGGACCCAAATCGAGGCTGAGGGATCCTGTTGGCTCAGCCTGTGTGCGCAGATGCTGCGGGGCGGCTCCCAGCAGGCTGCCCTGATGCAGCCTCAAACAAGACCTGGAATCTGCTTGCGGCGCTCGTTCTGCACGGGAAAGGGCCGGCTCTGGGCAGAGCCGACCGGGAACGTGCTCCACAGCCCAGCGAAGTCTCGCCCACGCCTGGCCGCACTGTGCGCCCGCCGCCTCCCCGGCCTCCCTGCCTCCAGACTCAGCATCTCCAGTCTCCTCTCCTATCATTGCCCTGCGGTATTAGAATTCAGGGGTTTGTTTATCCACATAGTACTCGGTAAGTACATGTTGCATGAATGAATGAATGATAAGACACAAATCAGGCCGCAGCTCTTTCCTCTTTGAACCACTTGATCTTCAAGGACTTTGGCCATCTGCCCTCTCTCAGTTCTCCAACCCCGACCACCTGCCCGTCTCCCTGCCCGTCTCCCCATGCTCCACTCATGCTGGCTCCTTTCAGGTTTTCTAAACATGCCATTTTGAGCCTCTCGGGGCCTTTGCTCTTGCTGTTCGCTCTACCCGAGAGTCCCTTCCCCACCCCAGCCCACCCGATGAACTCCCACTCGTCCACACAGTCAGGCTCAAATGGCCTGTCTTCTCCGTGGGTCTAGCGGACACCTGTTGTCTGTGCCTGCCCAGCACCCATCTCCTCTTCTCAAACAGAGCCCCAGCCCCCCCAGCACCCCTCCTCCTACCCCCTCCACCCCCGTCCTTTGGGTGGAGCTGATTGCGCCAAGCCCCATAGCGCTGTTTGGGGAGGGAGGGCCCTCGGCCCACCTGGAGCAGAGGGGATCAATCCTGTGACTCTGGGGAGCTGTTGAGGAAGAGGGGCCCTCCCTGCTGCCACTGCCAGTCCTCGGGCGGGCGAGCGCCTGCAGCGGCCGGGGACCACCGTGGGGAGGAAGCCTGCACTTCAACAGGAGATGGGGGGCTGGGCCAGGACTTATTTCTCTCCAAATTCCCCGCAACCAGGGCAGAGCCTGCTCCCGACAGGGGCCGTTAACTTCCGTCGGGCAAATTCATTCATTCGTGCAACAGCTATTTACGGAGCGCCTACGGTGTGCCAGGCCCCTTCTGGGTGCGGGCGTGCATGCCTTCCCGCCTCTCCCGTGGACTCCCTGTGCCCTGGTGACCGTGCGTATCTCCACGCGGGCCACACAGACAAGGCTCAACCACAGCCCAGCCCAAGTCTTGACCGAATGCCCTGGGATCCTCCCGGAGAGCGGCCCCGCGAGGAGCAGGAGCAGGGACATCTCTCACTGGCCTCCCTGACTCTAGCGGGCCGGGCACCGTCCACCTCGCCCCTCTTCAGTGCAGCTGCAGACTGTAAAACCGCTTCGCTGCTGTCTAGAGGTGGCTCCTCAG